CTATATGTCGGGTTCTCAATATGACTTACGAAAGTCATTTGAGATGAAGTTCCAACCATATTTCTTGATGACCTAGGCACATCAGATATATTACACACCTCAATAAATAACTCTATAATTGGAATATTTGTTGAGTCATTCAATTCAATTATAGTTCTAATATCATCATCTTCTTCAAGTGGTATTGCAACATACCTGACTGAATTTGGACATACCATAAACCTATACCTCAAACCATCAACTGTAGCTCGATTTTCCTTTTTATCCTCTCCTTCATTTCTACAGATGTGATGTCCCTTTTAAACATCATATTTATAGGTCCTTCAGACTAAAGATAACTCCGACCTCATTATTCATAATTTGTCCATTGTAATGGACAATCATGAAAAATTTGTTGCTCATTTTCTCTTATATACAAATATAGATATTTATAATAAATAAAAAATAAAATACATAAATAAAACAATTTGTTATATATTAGACTAAAATTATATTATATTAAATTTACTATTATTATTATTAAAAATAAAATAATTGTTTTTAACATTTTCACTACAAACACTAAATCAATATTATTTTAACATTTTTACTAGAAATACTAAATCAAATGTTGATCAAATTATACTAATGATTCGTAAGGTAAAAATTAAATTTATTAAACCTTGCAAAAAATGTTAATATATTAACAATATTTTTTATCAATTAAAATAATAATGTTATATCTTTATTTCGAATATTTTATAAATACTTATGATTGAATTATAATAATAATTAAATATAATTAAAAATATTATTAATTATAATAAATACTATTGAAGTTATTATTTTTCGTCATTATAATAAATATTATTTTTCGTCGTTATAAATATATTTTTAACATTTCTACTACAAATACTAAATCAATATGTTGATCTAATTGTCTTAACAGTTCTACTACAAATACCAAATCAATAACATTAAAATTATAATAATGATATTTACATAACAATAAATCGTAAATTGATATTTACTAAGTCAATATGTAACTAACAATGAATCGTTAAATACTTTAAATAAAAAAAAATTGGCACTTATTTGAGAGTTTCTTCCGACAAGTTGATGTTATAAAAGAACATTTTTGAATTTCTTACTCACTTCTTTTTTACTTGCAACAACATATTAAAATTAATATTTTAATATTAAATAATACGAGATCAAATAGAAATATTTTATTCAAATAATACTTCAAATAAAAATTTTATTCGAATAATACTTCAAATAAAGTCTTATTCGAATAATAAATATTGAAATAAAATTCCGTTCAAAATTTTCTCTAATATTCTTTCTGGATGCTCACTCTTTCAATTGTTCTCGAATTTTTGCTTGTTCTCCCCTCTCCTCACCTATGTTGTGATCCCCAATTCTCAACCAAAATACCCCATTTTATACCATCCCGAGATATTAATGATTCTCACATCCACCAACCTACTCGGGTTATTAATGGACAATTAATGGTGCCATTATTACTTATCTGTTTCCCAGTCTGAGCCAACCTACTTGCATGGCCTGAAGACACCGTGCACTCTTGGAGTCTTATCCATTGGCCTGAAGACTCCATGATTGTGTTGTTACTGTAGATTTCACCCTAGTTGGGGAAATAATCCCCGATGTGCCTTTATATTCATTCAGATTAATAAAAAAATTAAGGAGAAAACTTTTAATTAATTAATATTTTAAAAAATTACTATAATACTAAAAAAACTAGGAAAAAGAACAAACCTTTCCTACCTTCTAAATAGTTTCATCCATCTAATCGTATTAAGTTTAAAAGTGTTTTACGACCAAATTATACTTTGAGGAAATTGAGTTAGCATTATATATTTTTTTTCTTTTCTTCTAAGTTGTGCAATAATTATATGCATGCCTTGAAGCTGCTGAAATATTTTCAAAACAAATATCAATAGTACAAAAGTTGGCGGGGACCATATTTGAATAAGATATGGGGGAATAACATGGCCAGACACGCATTGGCATGGACCAGGGCATGCATTATAAAAGAGTGTGGGGCTTACATTTTTACACCATACTTTTCTTTTGTTCATTTCGACTTCTATAATTGATTCGTGGATAAAACAAATCGGTTTGTCGGAGTTCGTCAAAAACCAACGAATAAGAGAATAAAGAAGGAAAGATAAGATGATAAGATTTTTTCAGAATAACAGTCCACTAATTACCCACCTAACCTAACATAACTTATTCTGTTATGCCAACATTATCCCTACTTGAATATCTTCAAGTGAATAGATCATCAACTACTTGTGAAACATCACACTAAGAAGAATAACTTGTGAAACTTCTTCATTTGACACTCTTGTAATAATTATATCAGTCGACATAGAAAATAATATATACAAACAAATTATCTCTATTATGGATACATGAAACATCAACAACAAAACCTTCAAAACCTATCTCATATAGGTAAGTGTTGAGTTTTGAATGCAGTTCCTTAGAGCTTGTTTCCGCCCGTAAAAAAACCTTTTGTAACCTACACACCAATAGAGATCCATCCGATGTTTTTACCTTGAAGCTAGGTGGTTAGTCAACTTGTTTTTGAGGATTTTTCTTTTAGTTTTCTACTTTTGTACATTAGTAAAAATTCTTTTCTTCTTCCCACAATGTTTTCTATTTTATTATGTGATCATTATTTGTTATTATCTTTATCAAATTGACATTCGAGCATCAATGTTGTTTGTCTTGATCATGATGATGGCACCATAGAGTATTAAATTTTGTTGTTTAATCGAACACAATATTCAAGTTGGAGAAGACTTGAGAAGAAATCTAATTTAACTAGGTACTCTGGATTCAAAAAGATGCAATTGCTCCAATAAAGTTGAAGCTATGAAAATTTACAAAGACTATCTCATTGTATGAAATGATAGAAAAAGACTATAAACTTTTGTTCTACAAGGTTCAACAATTTTGAAAGATTTGTTGTTTCCCTTTATGTTTCAGATGATGATATTATTAGTGAAAATGTCTTAATTGAATCAAATAGAAGAGGATTTTATATTGAACAAGACAAGCATGAGTATAAAGATTCTGGAAAGTAGAAAAAAGATTGCCTTCATGAGCATAGAAAATTTGACAAGTAGAAGAGAGTACTTTAAATTTCTTACACTTTTAGAATTGTTAGAATTTAACAAATTTGATATGACTCAAATTGATTGGGGAAAGTATGAGAACTAGTTTGACTGAGAGTATGAAGCCTATTCTATTTTATGTTGATTAAAAGTAAAAACTCTAGTTTGAGTATATTTATACTGAATAAATTTCCTTTATAATCAAGTAACTATCCCTATAAATATATATTAAGGATAAGAATTAAGGTTACAAATCGAGTTATTTATGAGGATTTATCTTGTATTATTCTATTCTCAACGTCATTGAAAAAAATTCTACCCGGTAATATAATTTTCATTCTCTTTTTAGCTCTCGCCTACACTTTATCGTCAAGCTACTTATTATCCGCATCTTAATCGATCCGCAAAGGTTTCATCTGTTGAGATCAACTATGAACATCTCAAATCAGTCTTAATCGTTAATTCGAATGAAGCATAATCCTAATAATATGTTATTAATATTTTCATTGGTAAACAATCAGATTCCAATATGCTAACGTGAGTTTGAGACTAAAAGTTTGAAACACATGGACACCAGTATATCTGTAGCTTTTAGGAAGATTCCGAGTCCATGACAGTTTAACCTATGAATCTAGGTATGTGTCTTATATGTTGCCACATTTATATTATCTATCATATTGATATATTGTTTTATCGTTAACCAACTTTTTTTTTTTTGTATTCTAATATTTGTTTAAGAAGAATCTAAATCGATGTATATTTTTGTGCTTATCTTATTGTATTCACTGTTTATTGATAATACTATCTGCTCTGGTAAGCATGCCTATTGTTACTGAAAAATAAGCCGAAATGACATGTTACCATATTGCCTTTTGGATACTGTCATTAGCATGTATCACTGCATTGTACCGTTTACATTTATTTTTCACTATTTTTAACTTACTATTATTTTCTTCTTGGCTAATAATATTTTTTAATGTTATTGTTTATTATCTTGAAGTAAGTTTTCGTTACAATTATACAATTGAACAGTTAAATACTCTCAATCGTTTAGCAATAAACGTTCAATTATCCATGCTGCAGTCGCTGGTGCTCGAATCCGTAACCTCTAGAAATAACAATCATTGAGGTAATTTAGTTTGTCATATTTACTCTCTTATTTCGAATTTTGGCGTAAGACTTCTTTTAAATGTTGGGATATTTATTATCAGTAATTTACATACTTCATAGATAATAATAAATTTGAGGTATTTAATGTAACTTTAGAAGATTTTATAACAAGTAATACATTTTAAAGTTTTTTAACCATTTGATGGAAGAAGTGGGCTTCAACGAGATTCTTTGCACTGTTGTTAACAAAGAGAAGGGCTCGGGCAATGGATGTATTTTAAAGACTTCTCAGTTTGCGATCAAAGAGTGGCTCAAAAGAAGGAACTGGGTGTTGATTCAATCTCGACCATTGGAGAAAGGATTAATGAATTATAAGTCAAACTGAAAATGAGTAAATTGATCAATTGTTTCAGAGTGAGTTTAGGCCATTGAGAATGTGGTTATGGGAACCAGACCCTAAACTATTTGAGAATAAATGCAGATGTCATGCTCAAACTCATGCGGGATGCATGCCTATGCTTTTTTTTTTCGAATGGCTCTGGAATTATTTGATCATCTATTCTTCTCGTGTGTTCATTCTTGGCGGATTTGGTTCTCCTGGTGCAGATTATAAAATTTGCAGATTCTCTGCTCTATGGATTTAGTCCTACCCTTTGACTCATATTCAACCTTTTCAAAATTGTTTTTGGAAGGTAAATTTCAATGTCTTTAATCATTTCGATCTACCGTCGACATTTTTTGAATCTTCGTCCTAAGAATAAAAAGTTACTGATCTTTAAAAGCACCATGACTCTCATTATCTAAATAAGACATGGCTACTGCAGCATGGATGGCTGCTCCAATAGGAAGAACATCCTCGTCAATAACCAAGTAAGGCGAATGCAATCCGTAGTTTGGTTTTCGTGTTTCATTTTTTGTTCCAATCATGAAGTAGGCTGCCGCCATTTTGTTTGCATAGAAGCTGAAGTCTTCTGCCCCCATCACCATTGGATACAGTAATACGTTAGACTTTCCAAACACATATTCGGCAACCTTTCTCCCATGTTCGTACATCGATTCATCGTTGACAGTTGCAGGATAAGGTCTCATTTTCTTCTCGAGGAAGTCTATGGTTGATGTACATCGATGTACTGTCGCTTGTCTCGATCACCAATAAATCATCTGTATCAGAACTAGATGTTTAAGTTTTTCCTAAAAGACACAATACTGATTGATAACATTAACCTGTTTGATCCTCAGATGTAGATAATACAATGCTTCATTGGTCATGCTTCGAAATTTGCCTCCGAATGTTACTGTTTCGGGGAAAGTATTCACTGCTGGACCGGATTGAACGATCCCTACCGACACAACCTGTAGTTTCGGGAAAACGAATCACTAATTCCGAATCCATCGAAGGTTTAGTGATTGATATTTACCCTGGACTCAAGAGGATTCGTCTCTCGAGAAACGAGGTGTTGGAGTGCAAGGATTGAAAATGATGCAGCAAGTACTGGATCTGCAGTCGTATGAGGCTGAGCAGCATCCTCTGATTTGCCCTGAATTTTGACTTGAAACCTGGCAGAGCCGGCCAGCATAGGGCCAGGTCTGGATCCAATGGTTCCGGTGGGCAATTCCGGTGCGACGTGTAGGCCGAATATGGCTTGGACAGTATCGACTGCACCCTCTTTAATCATATGATAACCACCGACATACGACTCTTCCCCGGGCTGAAAAAACAAGTGTCATAACCATTTTTTTATTAAAAAAAAACAATTATTTATTATTTTAAAAAACAGTTATGACTTTTATTTGAAAAATTGACAGATATTGAATTGATTTGGATTAAAATAAAAAGGAGTCGTCATCGACCTTTGGGTTAGATAGGTTGAATACCTAAAAACGTATTTTAAAACAATTTTAAGGAAAAATCGTTTTTAAGACAAAAACTGGTCTGCATTTACAAAGATTCGACGTAACGGGTCCGGGAGTCGGTTACGTGTGGGGAAGGATAAGCACCCCTACAACGCCCAAAAATTGGTACTGAATCGCTTACACGTTGTCGTAATGGTGGTGGAAACTATAAATCAAATATAAAGTTAGAAAATAATCCATTTATTAAAGTTTGATTAACTTACTTTGAATTAATTATTTAAAAGAAAATCTTTTACTCGATAAGAAATCTTGAAATTTGCAATCCTCCATCGAAAAAGCTATCTCAACCATTTCTTATTCATAAAAGAATATTCTATCTTCAATAAATAAAAGATGCATATCGAATATCAATTGCATATCGACATTTTGCATAAAATGAAATAAATTGATATTTGAAGAGACATGCCTTGCATCATTTGAAAAATAAGAAAGAAAAAAAATAGTAAAATAAACAAAATTTATTTCAAGTTCCCATGTCGTTAAAATGCCGTTCGAATTGCACCACTTCGACCAAGTGATGCTTTCCGAACTCATTCTACGCGTACGTGTTCTTGAAATGATTTGAATAACATATCGATAGATAATAGAAAACACTGAAAACACATACAATTTGAAATTCACAAAAATAAAATATTCGCAACATTTAGAGCTAATAACATCAATTTAAAATAATACAGAACAATAATATACAAAATATAATTATACATAAAGGATTAAAACAAAATAAAATAAAAATTATAGCTCTAAATAAAAATAACATAAGTAATTACATTGATAATTTTAAGGGACAAAACTGTCACTAACAAAAACTTAAAGAGCTAAACAGTAATTACAACTAAACCAGAACCCAAATCGCAAATGTTAAACAATACAGGTACTAGAAATGAAAATAACCTATAAATAATATAAAGGACTGAAATGAAATGAAAGTAAACATACACGCTAATTCATGATTTAACACAAAATACAAAATAGTGACCAAAATGTAATTTTCATAAACAGCAAGAACAATGTCTAACATTCACAAAGTATATATAATAATAGCCAAGTGACCAAATACAATGTTTACAAATGTAGGGAATAAAATCTGAAGTAAACAAATTACAACCAGGGACTAAAAAAGAAGATTGCAAAACCCGAAGCACCATAGCATGGTTTACCCATTCGCAAAACACGGAAATACCCCTCCCTAAACGAAAATGTTTTAGTCGGGGGATATAAGCCCAAATATCTTTCTCATCTTCCCTCATTTGTTTCATTTTCCAAAAACCAAAGGGCAGAGGGAGTTTGAGAACTCTCTCAACTCCCTCATCGGAGAGGAAAAAGATCGTCGGCGCCGGTGGTGCCTCACAGTGGCCGGAGAGAGAGACAAGCCCCCAAAAGACTCATCTCATTCCCCTTAAACTGAAACCCAACTTGTTTTAGCCTAAAAACTCATTTAGGACCCTATATCTAACATATACCTTTCAGACGTTTTGAAGAACGACGACTTTCGGGCTTCTAGATCTCCGAACCAAAGTAAAAACCTCCTCATTTTGCTCCTTTTTATCTTTTTCTTCTTTGATTTGAATGCATTTTCTTTTTTTTTATTTATCTTTTTCTTTCATGTTTATCGGTTCCCCCTACCCTAATGTTTTTCCTCTATTCTCTCACTTTTTTCTATAAACCCCAAATCTCTCCTCCACTCTCTCTCTTTCTTTTCGTTTCTTTTTTATCTTTTGCGTGATCTGTGACTGATGGACTTTGAGTGATATTTTTGCCTTTGGTGAGATAGGGTTGTGGTAGAGGCTACATTACCTCGAGATAACATGTGATTTTTTTTTCATTTTTATTGGATTTTTCTGATTTTGGTTATGTATGGTTTGGTGTTTGACACTATTTGATGGAATTTCGGTCACTGTAGGATTGACAACGGTGGCTCACATGGCTGGGAGGCTCTCGGCGGCAGCTTACGCGGTGAGCAAGGAGAGCGGTGATGTGCACGCGCCAGCTGGGAGCTAGAAAGTTGCTGGCGTCGGTTGACTTCTGAGATATATTAGGGTTAGGGTTTTAAAACCCTATTTTAAATGTATCGGGCTTGCTGATTGGACCTAGTGCTGGTTCGGATCCCAGTTGGGTTGGGTCGACTGGGTTGATGTTATACTTGGGCTGCTGGGTTGATGTTGTAGTTGGGCTCCATTCGAGCCTACACAAAATGTAATTAAATGATAATATGATACAAATAATAATAATAATAATAATAAATAATACTTTTTTAGATCGGACAAAAATGGGCGTTTACAGCTGCCCCTCTTTGCACATTCTTGTGTTAACAAGAATAAGGCAAAGACGAAAAAGACAACAAGTTTTTTTCTGTTTTTTTTTTGTTTTGAAAACTTCATATATTTGTTTTTGGGGACGACACTACTCATACGTGATGAAGAGTTATGGTCGTCTAAGGGTGACATGGCTTCTACATGATGAGGAGTTCTGGTCGGTGGATGACACGGTTCTTACGCGATGAGGATGGCTGGCCATCTTTAGCAAGGGTGATAATGTGGTTCCTACGTGATGAGGACGGCTGGTTATATAGGGGTGACACGGCTCCTATGTGATGAGGAGGTATGGTCGGTGGATGACACAGTTCCTACATGATAAAGATTGTATACCATCTTTAGGGATGATAACACAGTTCTACGTGATGCCGACGACAGGTTATCTAAGGTTGGCATGGCTCCTACGTGATGAGGAGGTTTGGTTGGGGGATGACACAGTTCCTATACAATGAGGATGGTAGGCCATCTTTAGGGGTGATGTTTCAAGAGAAACTGTCTTAAGGGAGACAAAACATTGTTTCAATGGAAACAAACTGAAAGATGGGTGTTTCAAGAGTAACTGTCTCAAGAGAGACAAATTTTTTTTCAAGGGAAACAGACTAAAAGATGGGTGTTTCAAGAGCAACTGTCTCAAGAGAGACAAAATTTGTTTCAAGGAAAATGATCTCAAACATAAGTGTTTCAAGAGAAACTGTCTCAAGAGAGACAAAATTTGTTTTGAGAGAAACTGTCTCAAGAGAAATAAAATTTGTTTCAAGAGAAACGACTCAAAGATTTGTGTTTCAAGAGAAACTGTCTCAAGGGACAAGAAACTTGTTGCAAGGGAATCAGACTCAAAGATATTTTTAAAGAGAAACTGTCTCAAGAGAGGCAAATTTTTTTTTCAAGAGAGACAGACTCAAAGACTTTTCTCTCAAGACATACAAAACTTCTTTCAAGAGAAACAATCTCAAAGTTTGTCAATTTTGTTTCCAGTGAAACAATTTCAAAATTTGTGTTTTAAGGGGAAACTGTCTCAACCGAGATGAATCTGTTTTGAAGAAATTATCTCAAACGAGACAAAATTTGTTTTTAGAAAATTGTCTCAAGCGAGACAAAAAAAGTTTTTAGAAAAAATTGTCTCTAGCGAGACGATGCTTTGTTTCGTGAGAAACAATCTCAATGGGGACAAATAATCTACTTATTCCTGCACGTGGAGGAAAGGCCTTCGGAAGATCTGATCATTCACTTCAGGATTTTGAATCTCCAAAGATGCCCCAATATTTGATGTTGAATCTCCAAAGATTCCCCATCATTAATTATTTCTTGCTTCATCACTGATTTTAAGCATGAGCTTTGTGTCTGAGAGTCACATGTCAACTACCAAGATCCACTCCAGAGAGATGTCTTATTTGAAAAATGTTTTTCTTCTTCTTTTATTTTCAAGAGTCTAAAAATATCAATTAAAAGGATGTTGAAAAATGTTTAATCAAAAGTTTGAAAATATTTCCCCTTTTCTAGGTTTCATAATTGAGACAAATCATAAAACAAGAGTTCATTGAATATCAAAGAATTAATTACACTTTTAACCCTTCAATAAATTATAGCTATATGGCAAGTGTCAAGATCAATGATATCTTTGAGGTATGATTAAGTAAGGAAATGATAAAAAAAGTCTCAGGTTATTGTATTTGTTCAAAGGTTTAGCATTCTTATTTATTGGATGTCCACTGATATTAAGGAATGGCTTTTATTCTTATCTACTGGAAGTATTTTTCAACTCCCAGCTCTCATGATCACACTCGAGTTGTGCGATGCCTTATCAAGGGATTTGTGATATCTCCTTCTATAAAACAGTTGCACGATTTTTATATTCGAGCCACATTTTCAGGTTTTCAACTCGAATCCTCCTTTGGTTTCAAGATGTTATTCAAAATTTATGTTTTGAATCCCCCTTTGTTATTTTTTTCTCTATCATGCATTAAAGATTTTAGAAAACCTTTTGTAAATAAAGATTAATCCTGATTGGCGGGATGAGATCTAAAGATAGTCTCTTCTATTTAGAAATCCATGTATGATTAAAAGGGACTTTTAAGGTGCGTAATGTAGGTTGTGGTTCATGGTTATGACATAAAGGGATAAATAGGCCCAAATAAGTGTTTGAGGGTGATTGAACCAATGATCAATTCATTTTGATGCCTTCAATCTTGTCTTGCTCAATTTGAATATGCTCATATGTTCTTTATTTTCCTGAAGTTCCATGATCTTCTGGTGAACTAATTTTGGAATAATTGTGCTTGATCAATCTCATGGTTTGAAGCTAGATACGTCATTTGACTCATGGGACTTTTTGCATGTGCTTCTTATCTTCTTTTCTTTTGCTTTTTTTCTTTGTTTTTTTCTTTGCTTTTTTTTTCTTTTCTCTTTGTATTGATAGGATCACTGCACTTTGCATTTGGTTTACCTTTCGCTATCTGATCTGAATCGATGTATTCACTCATGCGAGCAGATTTCCTTCACCTTGCCCCCAGTGTGGAGGGTGATCCTTGGTTAGGGTTGAATCACAAGAAAATATAATTTAGGCTCAAATGGGGACACAAGGGATATATTCTCCTTTTGTGAAGGGATAATGAAAGAAATTCGTTCATCATTTCATATATGGAAGTCTTTGCAGAAGAGGAATCCCAAGGAGATAGATTTTCAAGATTAATTTTATTCACATGAAAGCAATGTAATTAATGCATGATAGAATTATTTTGAATTAATTAATATTTTCCCTTCTTTCTTCTTGCTTCTAGCATGTCTCAATTATTCTGGCTCCTTTTCAAAAAATTGATTCGAGATGCCCCACATTGTGTCTTCTTGTAGCAAGGTTTATGTTCAAGTAAACATCTTGTACTCAATGTCTTCAGGTTTTATTGAATTAATCCTCATGTCATGCAAATGCATGTGATGTGTGTGAGGAGGAACATACAAACCTTTGACTCTAAATAAAAAAGAAAAACTCTCGATAAAGACTTGAACACATGCTGAAAAGAAAGATTTAAAATATTAGTACCACAATTAAAAATGAAGAAATTAAAAAAACTTCAATAAATAGATCATAAGTTAACTATAAACTCGAACTTATAATTTCCACCACAACAAAAATGTGTAAGCGACTTACAGCATGACTCTCTAAAAAAGTCTCTAACGGAGTTGCTAAGCTGTCATAACCATTTTTTGAAAAAACAATTATTTATTATTTTAAAACAGTTATGACTTTTATTTGAAAAATTGGCAGATTTTGATTTGATTTGGATTAAATTGAAAACGAGTTGCCATTGACCTTTGGGTTAGATAGGTTGAATACCAAAAAAAGTCTTCTAAAACAATTTTAAGGAAAATCGTTTTTAAGACAATAACTGGTCAGCGTTTACAAAGATTCGACGTAACGACTCCAGGAGTCGGTTACGTGTGGGGAGGGATAAGCACCCCAACAACGCTCAAAAATTGGTATTGAATCTCTTACACGTTGTCATAATGTGGTGGTGACAACGGTGGTGGAAACTATAAATCGAATATTAAGTTAGAAAATAATCCATTTATTAAAGTTTGATTAACTTACTTCGAATTAATTATTTAAAAGAAAATCGTTTTACTCGATAAGAAATCATGAAATTTGCAATCCTCCATCGGGAAAGCTATCTCAACCATTTCTCATTCGTAAAAGAATATTCTATCTTTGAATATATAAAAGACGCATATCGAATATAAATTGCATATCGACATTTTGCATAAAATGAAATAAATTGCTATTTGAAGAGACATGTCTTGCATAATTTGAATAATAAAAAAGAAAAAAATTAGTAAAATAAACAAAATTTATTTCAAGTTCCCATGCCGTTAAAATGTTGTATCGGATCGCACCACTTCAACCAAGTGATGCTTTCCACGCTTATTCTACACATACGTGTTATTGAAATTATTTGAATAACATATCAATAGATAATAGAAAACACTGAAAACAAATACAATTTGAAATTCACAAAAATAAAATATTCACAACATTTAGAGCTATTAACATCTATTTAAAATAATACAGAACTGAAATATACAAAATATAATTATACATTAAGGATTAAAACAAAATAGAATAAAAATTATAGCTCTAAATACAAATAACATAAGTTATCACATTGATAATTTTAAGGGATCAAACTGTCACTAACATAAACTTAAAGAGATAAACAGTAATTACAACTAAACCAGAGCCCAGATCACAAATGTTAAATAATACAGGTACTAGAAATGAAAATAACCCATAAATAATATAAAGGACTAAAATGAAATGAAAGTAAACATACAAGCTAATTCAGAATTTAACCCAAAATACAAAACAATGACCAAAATATAATTTTCATAAACAACGAGAACAATGTCTAACATTCACAAGGTATATATAATAATAGCCAAGTGACCAAAATACAATGTTTACAAATGTAGGCAATAAAATATAAAGTAAACAAATTACAACCAGGGACTAAAAAGAAGATTACAAAACCTAAAGCCCCATAGCATGGTTTACCCATTCGTAAAACACGAAAATGCCCCCTCCCTAAATGACAGCGTTTTGGTCGGGGGAAATAAGCCCAAAAAGGTCGTGCCTTTCTCATCTTCTCTCATTTGTTTCATTTTCCAAAAACCATATGGCTGAGGGAGTTTGAGAATTCTCTCAACTCCCTCATCAGAGAGGAAAAAGACCGCCGCCGCCGGTGGCGCCTCACTATAGCCCACAGTGGTTCACGGTGGTCAAAGAGAGAGAAGCCCACAAAAGACTTGACTCCTTCCCCTTAAACTGAAACCCAACTTGTTTTAGCCTAAAAACATCTCTAGGACCCCAGATCTAACATATACCTTTCGGACGTTTTGAAGAACGACGACCTTTGGGCTTCCAGCTCTCCGAACCGAGGTAAAAACCTCCTCCTTTTAATCATTTTCTCTTTTTCATCTTTGATCGAATGTATTTTCCTTTTTATTTGTCTTTTTCTTTCCTATTTTTCGGTTCCCTCTCCCCTAATGTATTCCCTCTATTCTCTTAATTTTTTCTATGAACCCCAAATCTCTCATCCCCTCTCTTTCTTTTCCTTTCTTTCTTATCTTCTGCGTGATCTGTGACTAATAGACTTTGAGTGATATTTCTGCTATCTGTGAGATAAGGTTGTGACAGAGGCTAGATTACCTCGGGAACATGTGATTTTATTCATTTTTTTATTGGATTTTTTTTTATTTTGGTTCTGACTGGTTTGGTGTTTGGCACTGTTTGATGGACTTTCGGTCACTGTAGGATTGACAATAGTGGCTCAGACGGATGGGAGGCTCTCGACGATGGCTTACGCGGTGAGCAAGGAGAGCGATGATATGTACACGCCGATTGGGAGCTGGAAAGTTACTGGTAGCGGCGGTTGCGTTTTGAGATATATTAGGGGTTAGGGTTTTGAAACCCTATTCTAAATGGGTCGAGCTAGTTGATTGGGCCTGGTACTGGGTCGGATCCCAGTTAGGTTAGGTCGGTTGGGTTGATGTTATAGTTGGGTTGATGGGTTGATGTTGTAGTTGGGTTCCATTTGAGCCTACGCAAAATGTAATTAAATATTAATATAATAATAATAACAATAATAATGAATAATAATACTTTTTTAGACCCAGATAAAAATGGGTGTCTACACCAAGCTTAACAGTGCCCTTCAAATCGTGTCGCTTGTGTTGTAATAACTTGCTTGCTCCTAGTAGCATCGTCACGTGAGCATCGTGCCCACAAGCATGCATCTTCCCATTCTTCTTACTCTTATGCTCCCACTCCACAATTTCCTTCAAAATATTTATGTACAGAGAACTATTTACATTATTGTTTTAATAATAAATAGAGCCCGACATTAAAACATAGCTTCCAAACTATGTTCTATAGAATTAAAAAAAAATGTGAGAGAAAGTATGTGAAATTCGACCATTAATAGAAAATACAAAAAATGTAGGTGAATTTAAAATTTCCATGCTCGTTCCAACCCAACTACAACTCTTTGTTGGTGTACCATTTTACAAACAGAAAAAAATTAACATATTGTATTATACACCTCCCATATCCGACATTTAATATTAGAGTTTCTCTTTCCATCTACGTATTAGTTTCATGGCTATTTAAGGAATGGGCATTAGTTAGGGAAAAAGATTGTTCAATTTTTTATTCTTTCTAAATCCGATGAACTCAATAATAAATGAAATTATTCTTGTTTTAGAGAATCTTAATTCAAATAACTGCATTGTTGGGAAATAAAAAACAAATAATTTCCATATAACCAGATTAATGAGAATGCGAAATAAAAGAAAAAATAATACCTAAAATTGATAACAGAGTTCAGCCAATTATGCCTACGTCTCCGAACAGCTGCAGATCTTTTACTAAAGGGAGAAAATTTACAGTAGTTTACAAAAAACACTTTAGAGATAGCTAGAATGATTTGGGGATGATTTTGAAGCTAAATGAGTTAGGGTATTTATAGATGAAGCTTAAGGACTAATCTTATAAATACCTTAAAGTGTGTAGGGACTAAAATACAATTATGTCAATACCATTTTCAACAGAAAATAAATGCACCGAATTCCACTGAATTAGGTGCCCCCTTTTTGACTTCCCCTTAGCCCCTTTTTTGACTTTTCTAACAATCTTCCACTTGAAGACTGATTTTAATATGTCTTCACACCTCGATCAATGCAGCAGCATTTTTGGTCTTGTTACACTAGCATGCCAACTGAAGTTGAACACAACTTCAGTTTGTCCATAGTCACCGTCTTTGTTAACATGTCTGCCGGATTTTGAGCTCCACTAATCTTTTCAAGTTTTAAAATCCCATCTTCAGAAGAGACAGGATAAAATGATATCCTAATTATATGTGCTTCATCCTGGAATGAAAAGACGGATTCTTCCCTAGATGGATAGCACTTTGACTATCGCAATACAAGATATTTTTTTCTTGTTTCTTGCCTAACTCTTCCAAGAAACTTTGGAGCCAAACCATCTCCTTGCTGGCTTCCGTAACAACAACATATTCTGCTTCAGTTGTGGAGAGAGCAACTATCTCCTATAGTTGAGAAACCCAAATCACTGCATTACCTCATAGAGTATAGACATACCCTATAGTGCTCATTTTGATGTCAACATTTCCGGCTAAGTTAGCATCTACATATCTTGTCAGTATCGTATCTCCATCTTTGAAACAAAGTGCTTTGTTTATGGTACCCCGTAGATATATGAGGATCCATTTGACTGCTTCCCAGTGTGCCTTGCCTGGATTATTCATGTACCTGCTAACAGCTCCCACTACTTGAGCAATATTTGGTCTAGTACAAACCATGGCATACTCAAAATTACGTCAGCCCTTCTTATTACATGAAGTCTAACACTCCTCGCATTGAACCCTTATCATTTGAGTTCTTTGTGCCACCATGCATTGGCACTTTCTCACGGTAAAGTCTGATGCCCCTTCTTGCCTCCTTCCTAACACGAAGGTTGGAGCTCACTTCCCACCATGCAAATGGATAGTTTCTCCATAGTTGCCTTGTCCCTTAACATCTTGGCTCCCTTCGAATCTTGTCTACTAGTTTTTGAAGGATTTTTCCTCACTTGAACATCCTCGGCAAGCCCTTGCTTCGACCCTTCTCTTATTATTGTCTCTGAAGCCATGTTCTCTACTCGAACATGCTCGGCAAACTCCTTGGACATGGCTAACTCCTCCTGCACTTGGCTTCTACTTGCCTTGGCAGAAATGAACCGTATTGAGCCAACTCTCAACGCCCCCTCAATCCTAGGTTTGTCCTCTTCTCTAGACAACTCGATCCTGAGCTCATCTATCACATTGGATGACTCGGCTTCCATCGGGTAGTCTCGCAACACTTCTGGCATCTTAAGTTTTCACCCCCTCGGCTTAGCATCTTTGACACTTGAACTTGTGTCAAGACTGCACACCTCTTCTCCAGACTCACCATCTGGTTCATCATTGGGTGGACTTTCTCTGTCACTCGAGGAACAACATTCCTCATCCTTTGACTTGCCTTCATCATGGATTCGCATGCCACTACCCTCAGTTTTCAGCTTTGTTTTGGAATTCTTGTTTTTATTGACTCCAAAGTCTTTGATTGATTCGGCGGTTGTCAAGGCTTTAGACAACTCCTTCACTTCCCTTCGCTCCAACACTTTCTTCGCCCATAGCTTTAATCTGAACATGAAGGTAAAGAACCCATCTTATTTGGTCAAACTTGGGACTTTGAGTATGAGTCTTCTGAATCGGCTCACAAACTCCTTAAGTGTCCCTTTATGCCTGATACGCCTCAACTTGGACCACACATCCATCATGGCATATTGTGAGAGGACTTGTTCACTTAGCACCCTCGGCTTGACAGCTTTATCTTTTGCTATCGCACCGGGTCCTTTCCTGTGCTTGACTGCTTTGACACTTGTAGTCTCGTCATGCCTCGCTCCTCGATTTACTACTTGTGGACTTGTAGTCGCACCATCCTTGTCCCTTGATTCGGCTACTTTGGAACATTTAGCCTCATCAAGTCTTGCCCCTGCCTTGATACTTGAACACTCGCAATTGCATCGGGCTTTCTTCTGGGTTCGGCTGCCTCAACATCAATAGCTTTGCCTCGTCTCGATCCTTGCTTGGCCGCATTGGCCCCCTCAATCGAACCAAGTCTTTTGCCTAGATTGGCAGCTTTAACACTTGCAACCGTGCCAATTCTCGCTACGTCTCCTTCTTCCATCCTCTTAATGATGGTTGCAAGGAGACGCTTCTCGGGACATCCTCTAATCAAATGAGGATCATCACATAAGTATCACTTTAACTTTTCTTTGCTCACCTTCTTCGTCGCACCGGACTTAGCCTTGTCATTCTTTTCCGATGGCTTTTCTTGGCTATTAACAGTAGATGGCTCTCCTTGGCTATTAATAGTCGATGGCTCATATTGGCCATTCGAATAGCTTCCTATACCATCTCCCCACTGTACCTTTTCCCGATCTCCCCCATTATTGCCACTATCTCTAGGCATGGGCCTGGACGAAACATCGCTACTTGGCTTGACACCTGCAAGCTCAGTCAGCTTTCCGGCTACATCTATGGCCTCTGAAAGTCTCTAGGCATCACCTTGCTCTCTCCCTAGCATTGCCCCTGGTTTAATTCCTTCCAAGAAGGTCTTGAGTGCACCATCCAACTTCTCAATTTACACATTCCCTTCGTCTGCAGTCATCGCTCCCACTCGAATCTGGCTTCGTTTGGATCGTTTCTGACAATTTCTGCGAACCACCGTTTACTAGAACACCTCCGGCGACAAACTCGTATCGCCAACCAAATTTTACTATTCATGTGAATAGTAACTCATAGAAAAATTGACAAAATTCACAACCAAAAGCTCTTATACCAGTTGTTGAGAAATAAAAAACATGTAATTTCTTATAACCAAATTAGTGAGAATGTCAAATAAAAGCGAAAAAAATAATACCCAAAATTGATAACGGAGATCAACCAATTATGCCTACGTCTCTGGACTGTTGCAGATCTTTTACTTAAGGGAGAAAATTTACAGGTGCTTACAAAAAACACTTGAGAGAGAGCTATAATGATTTGGGGATGATTTTGAAGCTAAATGGCTTAGGGTATTTATAGTTGAAGCTTAAGGACTAATCTTATAAATACCTTAAAGTGTACAGGGACTAAAATGCAATTATGTCAATACCATTTTCAACAGAAAACAAATGCACCGAATTCGGTGCCACCCTTAACCCCCTTTTTGACTTTTCTAACATGCATCACTTGTAAGATGTATATGCATTATTATATGTTAAGAAAAAATATGAATAATTACTACATATTACTACTAAAAATATATCTTTTTTTCTGATCCTTTCTACTAACCTATGAAGTAGTTCTAAAAGAGAAAACATGGATAGGAAGGGCGTCCATGTCAGCTCGAAGACCAAACCAGGGCTCTACCCCAGACCCCACGGTGGCTACAATTCCGGTCTTGTCAACATGCCATGAGTAGTCAATCCCAAGCGACTCCAACTCAGATATAATGAGTCGACCAGTCTCGTGTTCTTGGAAAGCCAACTCTGGGTACTCATGGATTTTCCTGCTAACCCTCTTTAACCAATCCAAGAACTCGGGCTCCTTGGTAGAGTCCAAGAGGCATCGTGTGAGCGAACTCAGGTTCAGAACTGAGTGATGCTTCTTCGTGTCACCTTTCGAAACACTTGAGATATCAATTACGGTTACCAAACAGAGACATGCCATTGAAAAGAAAAGATAGATGATGACGCTCTTTTGGATGGTCTTTACTTGGTTTATAACGCCTCCTCGTGAATTCAAGGTAAACAGCACAAGTGGTTACTGCTTTTTTCCTCTCTCTTTTTCAATTATATATATTTGAAAATAGGGTAAACTACACATTTAGTATCGCTACTATCACTTTTTTTCCGTCTTGGTCACCACACTACTTTGTTTTTTCAAAATCATACCTACAATTTAGTTTTGGTTTCATTTTGGTAATTGGTCATTGAAAAATTAATAGTGACGTTCCACTATAAGGTAATTCCATATCATCATTGAAAAAATAAAAAATTCGCATCAACGGTTTTATTAATTTTTTAACGGTGAGTGGTCAAAATAAAACAAAAACATAATATTCTGTATGGTTTTAAAATAAGAAATAATTAGATGATCAAAATGAAACAAAAATGACAGTTGATATACTAAACATGTAGTAAGAAAGCGTTTTAATAATCTAAAATACTAATACATTAGACATTAGTAATCTAACATTTAAACTATATGTTTGAAAATAATATATCTAGAAGAATATTTTAATAGTACCATACTATTTGTCATAACGTTTCCCCGGGGGAGTCCGTTAGACTTAAAAACAATTAGTGTCAGGGAAGGTGATGAAATATGATTTGAAAAAAAAATTGGTTTTGGAATCGCCACCTACTATTAAGTTAGGTAGGTTGGAAACCTTAAACGTCAAAAAATGGTCTGCGTTTTACTAAAGATTCTTTTTTAAGAGTTCGGGAGTCAATTACGTGTGGGGAAGGGTGAGCACCCCCACAACGCCCAAACTTTGGTACCTAAACGGTTATATGTTTTTTAAATATTGGGAATTACAAACTCGAAAATATATTTAAATTACGAACATGTTATTCATTCGAATTTATTCACAAAATGTTAATTTTCGGATAATTAATGCTCTTTTGTGTGAACAATCTTCGGGAAAGTACTTCCTTTACAGTTAGGAGACTTTCCCATAGATTCCCCTCACAAAAGACTTTATTTTGCAAATTTCGTAAAGATAAAATAACATAAAATAAAATAAAATTGAAAAGCGGTGAAAAATACTTGAAATAAATAAACGTATAACAAAGAAAATTATCGAATATAAAACAAACATTTATGCGAAAAATCTTCGAAAAGATACATTCCCTTTAGTTGGGACATATCTTCGTAAAATTATGATGAATTAGAAAAAACACGGTGAAAATAAAATTTCATACAAAGAATGCTTTCAACAACCACATAATTTATATACAAACATGCATGAAATTATAACGATCAATAAAAACAAAGTTGCAAATTTGTACTAAAATGCACATTTACAAACATGACAGACTAAAATACAACTAAAAATAGACATGCTTAGTAAAATAAAGGACTAAATAGAAAAAAATAGAAATTTATAGGACTAAAACAATAAAAATAAAAACTTAAAGGATTAAAATAGTAAAAACATAAAGTTCAAGGACTAAAATATAAAAAATAGAAAGTTAAAGGGCTAAATAGTAATTTCAAATAAACCAAAGCCAAAATCATAAACATTAAACAGTACATGTACTAAAAATAAAAAATAAACCATAAATAATACTTATAACTAAAATGAAATAAACAAAAACATAAAGAACTAAACAATAATTAAACCAAATACCAAAAAGTGACTAAAATAATATAATTACAAATGTCATGGCCAGATTCAAATATTAACAAAAATACATAACATACAAAATCAGTGACTAAAATGAAACAAGCATAAATCACAAAAACAAATTAAAAATTAAACAAGCATATCGTGATATATAATCTGATGACTTAAATATTAATATTTAAAATTAAAGGATCAAAACAAATTAAAGTAATATTTCATTCAAAGGCCAATGTACAATAGTACAAAGATATAGGGACCTAAATGAGTATTTACCTCAAATATGAAAACACGTTGGGTGAGTTTACAAAGCCACGGGGATTAAAGTTGAAATTACCCCTTTACATTAAAAAACATGCATGGGAGATTATAAAGCTACAGGACAATCCCAACAATTAACCCCGAAACTGTGTCATTTTGATCCCAGTATTTAAGCCCCAAAATGGTCTTGTTTACCCACTTCCTTCCTCATTCCTCATTTTTTTCAAAAATAGAAGGAGAAAGAGTTATAAAACTCTCTTAACTCCCCTCGTCGAGGAGAGAAAAATAGATGCCGCCAGCGTCAACCACGGTGGCTCACGGCGGCGACTACGATGGCACACTGTGGCTGGAGTAAACCCAAACCCTCAAAACCTTCCTCTCTTCACCCCAACCCAATTTCTAGCTCACTTTTCCCTAAGACCTCTCATAGAATCCTAAATCTAGGTTTATACCTTTCGGGAAAATGAAGATCCGGTTACCTCTTTTTGCCTCCGACAAACGTGCAATTTGGTAAGGATTCTCTTCCCTTTCTCTTTATTTTTCTTTCTTTGAAACCCCTAATCTCTTTGTGTTTGGTTTTTTTTCTTCCCCTTCACCGAATGGTTCCTCTCAGATTTCCCTTTCTATTTTTCTCCCTCCAAACCCCTCAGTATTTGTCTCTCTAACTCTGAAATGTATTCCCGAATGGTTCCCCCTTGTTTCCCCGATATCTCTCTCCTCTTATGTTGCCTCTGCCTCTGTGTGTGACTGATGATAGATTTGGATTGTCTGAGATTTTATGGGGATTTGCCTTAGATATCACATATTACTTTTCAATTTTTATTTGGTTTTTCTGACTGCTTTTCTTTTCTTGATTGACTGGTGACATCGAGCTGACACGACGACATTAAAGGTTTGGTTGCTATGATAGTAGCTAGGTTTAGGGTTTTATACCCTAATTAGCCATTAATCTGGATCGTTGCATGCGTCCAGATCAGAAGATCCTGATGGTGCGACGTTAGGACAGAGAAGGGGAAACCCTAAAAAGTCTAGGTACTGGGCCTAGATCGGGTCAGATTCAGGCCTCGGGTCGAGTCATGGACACTGGGTTGATATTGTAATCTAGGTTGGGTTCCAGTTGGGTTACTGGATTGGACTGCTGGATGTTGGGTTGGCCTCTTGGTTGCTGGTGTTGTAATTAGGCCACACATTTGACCTATACAAAATTGAAAACAAAATAACATTAATAATAATAATAAATATAATATAATAATATTTTTGGTATACTCAGACAAAAATAAGTGTCTACAGCTGCCCCTCTTTGCACATTCTTGTGTTAACACTAATAGGTCAAAGATGAAAAAGATAACCAGTTTTTGTCCGCTTCTCATTTTTGGTTTTGAAAACTTGATATGTTTGGTGGTTGGGGGACGACACGCCTCATACGTGATGAATAGTTTTGGTCGTCTAAAGGTGTCACGGTTCCTACGTGTTGAGGAGATCTGGTTGGTGGATGACACGGATGATACGTGATGAAGAGTTATAGCCATCTTTAGGAAGGGTGATAACACGGTTCCTACATAATGAGGACGACTAGTTATCTAAGGTTGACGTGACTCTAACATGATGAGGAGGTCTGGTCGAGGATGACACAGTTCCTACGTGATGAGGACGACATACCATCTTTAGGAATGATAACACGGTTCTTATGTGATGAGGATGGCTGGTTATCAGGGGTGATAGGACTCCTACTTGATGAGGAGGTCTAGTCGGGGGATAACACGGTTCCTACATGATGAGAATGGTAGGCCATCTAAGGGTGTCACAGCTCCTGCGTGATGAGGAGTTCTAGTCGATGGATGACACGGTTTCTAAGCGATGAGGATGGTAGGCCATATTTAGGGTTAATGGTTTCAAGAGAAATCGACTCAAAGATGATTTTTTTCAAGAGAAATTGCCTCAATAAAGAAAATATTTGTTTCAAGGGAAACGACTCAAAGATGATATTTTCAAGAGAAACTATTTGAAAATATACAAAATTTTGTTTCGAGAAAAATACTCAAATATTGTGTTTTAAGAGAAACTGTTTCAAGAGACAAAATTCGTTTCGAGGGAAACGATCTCAAAGATGATAAATTTTGTTTCTGGAAAAACAATTTCAGAATTTGTGTTTAAAAGGGAAACTGTCTTAAGCGAGATGGATCAATTTTGAAAATCTCAAGTGTGATAAATTTTGTTTTAAGTAAAACAAACTTTGAAATTTGTATTTTGAAGGAAATTGTTTCAAGTGAGACAAAATTTACTTCAAGTAAAAACAATATCAATTGTTCGTGTCTTATGGAAAACTGCATCAAGTGAGACAAAGTTTGTTTTGAGAAAAACAATCTCAAGGGAGATCAACTTTGTTTCAAGTGAAGTAAATTCAAAATTTGTATCTCAAAGGAAAAATGTCTCAAGCGAGATGAAATTTGTTTTGAGAGAAATTGTCTCAAGCGAGACAAAATTCGTTTTTAGATAAAGTTGTCTCAAGCAAGACAAAATTTGCTTTTAAGAAAATTGTCTCTAGCGAGATGACACTTTGTTTTGATTTTTAAAGAATATAATCTCAAGAGCTCATAATCCATCTATCAGTTCCTGCATGTTGAGGAAACATCTTCAGAAGATCTGATTGTTGACTTCAGGAAGTCAAATCTGTGGATGACATCGTTCTTTCAGGTTGAAGACATCTAGTTATTTCCGAGCTTTTATTTCCTACAAAATTGAAATGATGTATTTATGACTGCCTAATCTTGGATGTTTATAGGTGTCATAATGAAGTTTGTATCTAATTTTATGAATTATTGAATTTGTCCTCAAGAGAGGGAAAATAAAAGTCTTAATTTCACATGATAATGAATGCAAAGATTTAAATTTCATGTGTCATGTATGTATGTGTTGATGTATGTATGTTGATCTGTGAGGGGAACAGTTGTGTGAGCAGTCTTCATTCTTTGTTTGATTCAGTTTGTCCTCATTTCCACCAGGGTGTACTTTTACAAACCTCGAACTGAGACAATTTTCTTTTCCTTGCCCCACAAATTTA